TTCCTACCGTGCCTCTTCATGCCTTAGCTTTGGCTCATGAAATTGCCTGTCCTGGGAACGCCTCTCCAGGACCACTCACGCTCAGTGAGATCCTAGCAGGCCTTCAAGCCCAAGTGCATAACATGCGCAAAGAGAAGGAAGGAGCCTCTGTACCCTCTGGGCAGAAGGAATGGCATCCCACAGCGCTCTAAACAATTACCACTAATAGTCAGTGTGGATTAAGAACCTACAGACATCAGATGCTTCACCAGCATTGTGCAGGCTCACAGCAGTATCTTGAGGAAGCAAGTCATGTGAGCTTTGTATTTTTAAATTATTGTGATAAATTATAAATGAAGTGACACCACCTTAATTATGTTTAAGTGCACGGTTCAGTGGATTAGCACATTTAGACTGTTGTGCAACTATCATCACTATTCATCTCCAGAACTTTCTCGTCATCTCAAACTGGAACTCTGTGCCTACCGAATAACAGCTTCCCATTATGCCCTCTCCTACCCCCTGGTAGCCTCTGGCATACTGTTTTTAAAATGAGAAACTGGCTCAGAGAGGTGAAGTGACCTGCCCAAGGTCTCACAATAGGACCTAGCACAACCAAGATATCAGTCCAGTCCTTGTCACTTGACTCTGAAATTAGTGTTCTTTCCTATCTATGACATGGCCATGGGTGATTATACCTCCCTGTCACCCCAACCCATACCATCCATCTTGTTTCTACATTCTAGAACAATCCCTGGCATGCTGGAGGAGCTCCGCATGGTTATTGAACAAATTACAGAATGAATGCACCAAACAGACAAGGTGTCATCCTGACCCAGTGTTTGGGAATGGAGCTCCAGTTGTAACCTGTGCCTTCTAAAAAGCATCTACTGAATGCCAGCTGTGTGCCTGACATGTCAGCTCCTCCTCACCATCCTCCAGCCGTGCTGGGCCCTCTGGGCAGAAGGGGTTGAGGGCTGGCTCTGCCTGATGGCCCTGAGGAGGAAGACTCGTGTTTACGCTACGCAGTCAATTTTGTATTTATTTTAGATATTAAGCAGCAACTTGAATGCTGCTGACGTTAACCTTCAGGGGCAGGAATTGGTTTTAATGGACCCCATAAAAGTTATTATTGATGGCAGCTGTATGCAACATCACTGTGACCTCAGCAAAAGCCTCCACCGCTGTCAATACTGTTGACAATTACTATTGACTAATGCGAGGCTGGGTGTAGAGGCAGAGTCAATGTTCCTGTGGCTGGAGGTCACTGGGGGTTATTCTTTACAATTCTCATTTATCTGGCGAGGAGCTCTGAGAAGTTGGTTGTACATCTTTGGTGGACTCAGTTGACAGTCTAAAACTCCCGCTGATTCAGATGGAGGGAAGCAAAGGGCTTGGACTGCAGGATCAGAGAGACCTGGGTTCAAATCCAAGCATTGCTGATTTACTGACAGTCATGTCAATTGACCCCTCTGTAGCCTTGACTTTCTCACCTGGCAAATGGGAATGTCCTTGTTAGGATTTCCGGTAATTGGATATGTGCAGCCATAGGCCCTCAGCAGAGGTCACTGGCTTTCCTTTATTCCTGAATAGTGGCGACATGGTGGCATGCTGGCTAGCACGGCATGTGGAATCGTGCTGTTTTGATAGTGAGATCCCAGTTCTCATCAAAGACGGAGAGAGCTGGGAGCAGGTCGGATGTGAGAGAAGCAGAGGATAGAGTTGAGAAAGAAGAGAGGGAGAGAAGGAGAAAGGGTATAAAGAGGAGTGGGAAGGGGACAGTCTGAAAAGAACCAAGACACTAAGACCTGGCTCTAGGTCATCTAGAAATGTGGCAGCACACACACCCCTCATCTCTTGACGCCTCGGTTTTCCCAGCTGAGCAAGAGCACTGTGAACCTTTGCAGTGAATAAGAGTGAGCCAGTCCCGTGACTGCTGTCATTACTTAGACCCAAGTACAGCAGAACCATTAACATAACTTCCCAATTGAGGCTGGTGGATGAGTGTGCGGGCACTCATGAATGGCTGGGGTTGAGAAACCCAGATCTGCAAGGGATGCAGAAGCCGGGAGCCCTCCTGTGGTGCTTGTCTTCTCTGAGTATAGCTGGGCTCAAAGGCCTATGGCCAGTGTGAAAAGGACAGTCAAAGCCGGGGGGCGGGGGGTATGGCTGGGAGCTGGCAGCCATCTCCTCTCCCCCCCATCAAGTTCTTCAGTCTCATCAAATATGTCATTATCACCCAGCAGAGGCTTAATTCAACTGTAAATCAGCTCTCAGGGAATACACAATAAAGTGGGCGGTGCGTATCTTACTCTGGCATGACTTTATGGAAAATGATCATTTGTCACCATGGCAAGAAGACTTCAAAAGAACAAACAACCCAATATTTTGCTGCAGTGAAATTTATTAGAACCACTAGGGCTAAATGAGTAAAGATTTTTCAAGTTGTACAGGCCTGAGTCCCAGACTCATCTTACTAGCTGTATGGCCTACTCAGGATTCTTAGTGTCTTTAGGCTGCATTTTAATTTTTCTGTGCAATGGGGATAAAAAGTCTACATCAAAGTGCTGTAGAGGAAGCAAAGGAGATCACACAGCGACAGTGCTTAGCACCGCGCTTGAGTTCTGAGAGTCAGCAGCAATGAGCTATTCATGTTATTATTACTTTCAGCTCATGCACTTTCATCTGTTACAGTATTTCCAACCACAGGATCCTAGATCTAGAAGAGCCTGCAGGTCATTCAGCTTAGTTATTCTAAAAAGACACCTATTGGAATACTGGTCCCTTCAGATGCTTTGAGAAGTAAGGGTTCTCTGGTTTGAGGAATACCGCATGTGTCCTTCGCTAATCTGTCATTACCATGCACATAAACATCTTAAAGGCTCTGAGAAGTTCTACAGCACAGAAACTGGTTTAAATTTGCTTAAACCAGTGTTGCTCCCTTACCAGAGTACAGATACTGTCCCCCTTTCAGCCTAAGAACCACAGACATTTTTAGAACATAGGGGATGCCGATTTCATCGAAAGTATATTATAAACTGGGAAACTGATCTGGAGAGAGGAAGCAAGTCTCTTAATGCCACATCCCAGGTCAGTGATGGAACTGAGATTTCCCGTCCTCTAACCAGATGCCATTTTCTCCGTGCCAGGCACCCTGCCAGCCTTGGGTTTGGTGTTCTGGTTCAATGCAGGTGGGAAGAGGTGCGGCTGCTGGCTCAGCGTGGGCTCAGCTTAGGGGTTGGGGAGTGTGACAGTGCCCAACTAATGTTCACGACCTGCCTCTCTCCCATGCTCCAGCAATTTCACAGGCTCCCTGGGAAATATCTGAGTCTTCGGGTGACACAGTTTTGGAATTTGTGCTGCACCTGGACCTTTGAAGGTAAAGTTCCTAACCAGATCTTGGCCAGGCTTGATTACCTGCCTGATCCCTAATCCAGGACTTGGTTTTACACAGCTCAGTTGGAGCATCTTTTTTAGAGATTAACTCCTCCAAGCCCTCAGCTCTGACCTGGGCCCTGCCCTACCCGGGAATTCCCAGGCAGCTGTGGCTCCTGCACTTGGGACTGAAAGTCAGGAGGGGCGTTGACATCGGGCTGGCTCTGGCTGCTTGAGTTCACACTGCCCTTCCCATGCCCCTCTGGTGGCTCCCTAGGTGTGCGAGCACCTGCAGACCCCGCTGGGCTTTCCAGAAACAAGAGACTGCACCAGGTAGCAGGGTTGTCCTGGGGTTCTGCTATTCTTCCCCAGTCTTCAATGCTAGACCCAGCAAGACGTTCCTCAGTGCTGGCCCGACTGTGTCCAGAGGTTGGAGAGGGAACCAAGACATGGCAGAAGGCGAGATTCCTGAGCAGCTCAGCTCCATGCAGGACTGTGCCTAATAACTCAGAGCCCCTCTGAGCAAGGCATGCCAACAGATTCCAAGAGGAAGGAGGAAAATTCTGGAACTGGCTGCTTTCCCTCAACCAGGAGAAGGAGGCCAGTGAACGAGTCATCTCCCTTCCCTTCCATAATGTCTCTGGGCCCAGACAGAACTGCACGTGTGAGAGTGAATAGTCAGTCTGTGGCTGCCAGCACTTCATGAGGTCATGGGGAAGCCAGGCCAAGCCTCATGTTTTTACTTTTCAAAACTAATTTTTTGATCTTTCTTTTAAAGGGCAAGAAATAATTGTATATATTTGTGGGGGTACATTATGATGTTTATATATACCATGTACATTATGAAACTTTTGAGCATTATGTTAGATTTGAGAGATTTTGAATTTCAAGTTTCTGGACCAGTAAAATCTACAAAAAATAGTCCCAAATTTGAATAACTCCAATTTTCTGGTCCCTGGTCTTTAAAGTAAGAGACACGGACTGTCGTCAGTGCCTGACCCCAGCACTCACTGCTTGTTCTTTGAGCTCACTGCAGCATTCAGTGCCCGAGCCCGTACCTTTTCAGCCTGTGTCGACTGTAGTCAATATGTGTAATAAATCATAAAGTCTTATTGCTCTTAGCTTCTGTAGCCTTTGACCAACATCTCTAAACCTCAAGTTCCAAGTTTTCCCCCAAAAACCATTTTTTGTTGTAAACCATCCTCTGATCAACATAAAATACCAGGATGGGACAAAGTCCCTGGAGATAACCTCGACTGCAGAGCACCTGGGTGCTGGGGATGGCAGGAGCAGGCATCAGGCAGGGCCAGGCACAGGCGGTACACAGAGGACAGGCTGGGCAAGGGGCTACCGCTATCCCAGGCCCTCTGCACCATCACAGGTACCCAGTACACAGTAACTCAGCCCCTTTGGCACTTCCTTAATCTGGACACAAACGGCAGCGACCCAGTCTCTGATTATGTCATTGATGGGTGGCGATTTCGAGTGACTGTGCAAAAGGCCCTGACTTTTGACCACTGAGAGCAAAGTAATTTTTCACCAACTTCGCCACAGCTGCAAACGATGGAGCAGAAAAAAATCGATATTGCAATTAAAACCTCAGGCCCGCAGCCCAGGCACTGGCACAGACCAAGAGGGCCACTCACCGGCCTCGGTGTTCTCGTGCTCAGTGTCGGTGAGGGTGAGATTGGAGTTGGCCCGGCTGGACAGGCAGGAGCTGCGCCCCGACCGTGTGCTCCGGCCCCACAACCGCGCGGGGTGCTCAGGGGACAGCACGGTGTCCGCCTCCAGGTCGGCGTCGGAGCTGGCCCCCATGGAGTAGCCGCAGTGGGGGAGTCCCACGTCTGTCCGGTAGAGGGTTCCATGAGGGGGCGTCACCTCGCCCAGCCCCAGCTCCCGCAGGCTGAAGTTGGCTCCTGGAAGGAGACATGGAGTGTAGTCAGTGCCTGACCCCAGCACTCACTGCTGTTCTTCGAGCTCACTTCAGCGTTTAGTGCCCGGGCCCATACCTTGGCTCAGGGACTTCTGCCTGTTGGGCTCTTTCTGCTTCTTACCCAGATGCTCTGTATTTTTTTTTTTTTCTTTCCTGTTTTTGAACCCAGGGCCTTGTGCATCGGAGGCAAGCGCTCTCTACCTTTGAGTTAACCCTCGGTCCAAGATACGCTGTATCTTTAAAACCCAATTCAAGTACCCCCTTCTCTGCCAGGTGCCCTCTGCCCCTATACTTGTGTGGACTTCATTGCCACTTCCTCCCAGCTCCCTCTCAGTCCTGCCCAGTCCCACCGCACAGTGGGTTTTTGGGGAGGTCTGTGTCTTGTGCTGGAGATGACCTCCACAAGGGCAGGCACACCCGTGCTTAGAACAAAATCCAGTACTCAGAAGAGACTCACTACACATCTGTTAAATTCTATGGAGGGCTTCAGGGCTCCTTTGCCAAGGAGGACTTGTCAGCAATTCTGGAATGGGACAAAAGCCTAGTTCATGAGACTCACACGACACCCTAGAAACAGAAGCTCCCGTCTGGCCCGGGCAGGAGAGCCATGAGCACTGGTGGGAAGACGATGGTGACAGGAAGAGAGGAGCTGGCTTTCGGCGCAGAGATAGGCTATGTCTGTTGCTTCCTCACCCTGTGGTTCCTCTAAAATAAACCTAGCTGGAACATAATCAGCCTTGAAAACTGGAGATCAAAGGGGCCAGCCCCAATTGGCCTCTTCTTGCTTACCTGCCTTCAGAGTAGCCACCAAGCAAGAGAATAGAGATGGTAGGTGAGGCAAGGAGAGGCCTTGATCTCTGGTTTTCAAGGCTGATTATTTTCTGACCAGATCTTACTTTCTGGGAAAGAGGGTAGATAGGGTTGTGATGGGGGAGTTAGCAGAGGTAGCTTTCTGGAAGGCTCCAGAAAGTCTAGTAGTGCCGATGATTGAGGATGGGTCTATGATTTAAGTTCCTGTCACTGGGACAAAATAACCAGCACCCACAATTTAAATGAGGACAGGTTTAGTTTGGCTCATGGAATTCAGAGGGTTTAGTCCATGGTTGATTGGCTCCAAGGCAGAAACCATATGGCGGAGAGGCCTGGTGGAAGGGAGGTGTGCACCCCACAGCAGCCAGGAAATAGAGGAACAAGAGGAGTTGGGGACAGGAATACACCTTCCAGGTCACACCCCAGGGACCCACCTCCACCCAGACCCTGCCTTCTGACAGTACATTCAGTTACTGAATTCATCAGTGAATGTACCCACTGATGAGTATGGCGCCCTGTGATTCAGTTACCTTACAAATACCTGAGAGCTTCTTGGGGGGCATTTTAGATCTAAACCATGATACTAGGTAAGGTGTGGGTAAGAGCAGTTTGTCCAGGGTTAGGATCTGAGAGACAAGGAAATGTAGCCTTCGTAGGAAACACAGCCCCCTTCATTTTTCTTGCATGTTAATTCAGTGTCTATTCAGGGCGCTTCTCTCAGTTTCTCCTGTTCCCAGGAGTGTCTTGGGGGATAAGGAAGAGGGAGTACATGAAGGATGTGTGGGTCATGTCCCAGGTAAACTGATGATCTGGGGAGACGGACTTATAAGCATGTGGCACCCACATGTAAACCAGTGCAAGCTGGCCCTGAGCCTTTACTGAGCTTAGCGATGAACAGGGTGTGGTGCCTGACTTCACAGAGCCCTCAGTCAATGGGGAGACACAACCAGATACATGACTTAGGGGTGAAGTTCAGAGAGGAGATCCATGAAGAGTGTTCTGGGAGCACAGAGGCAAGAGATAGCACAGCTGGGTAGCGAGGTCAGAGAAGAAGTTTTCGGATGAAAGTAAATGTGTAAACAGAGACAACAGAAGAGGTGGATTCCAAAGCCTTAGAGCATTTTGCCAGCAGGGCTGGGACTGCACTGGACAGGTGAGCCTGCAGAGGAAAGGGAGAGGGGTTGCTAAAAGGCAGAAGAGAACCAGCAGAGATGGCATTATAACTGCATTTCGCTCTTACCAATAACTCTGTGGCCCCTGAGGAAGTTAAATAAACACACAAACAAATATACCCTGGCAGTTCTTTGGAGCATGGATAAGGGAGCCCTTCCACCCTTTTCCTGGAGAGGAGAAACCAAATGGGACTCTGCAGCCTTGGAAGCTGCTAGCAGGCTGGGGAGCTGGGAGAAGGTGTGCCTGAGCCTGCTTCTGCTCCCCAGGCAGTTCAAGCTGATGCAGCCTTGCCTTGCAGTTAAAGTCATGAACTACCTCCACACTGGTTGGTAAATACTACTATCCAAGACCCCACTGCCTCCCAGACTCTGCACTGGCTACTACAGACCCTTCCTTAAATGCTTTCCCGCGTCTCCCAAGATCCAGTTATTACACAGTGCTTAATGTCCACAGGCTCCACACAGCAGGGGCCCCAGGCTCTGCCTGTGGCCAGGCAAACATTCTGACTAGCTGGGTCTGGACCAGACCAGATGTTACACATTTTGAATTCACCCCTGTGTGCCGTGCTCCAAGCTTTCCTCTTGTTTTGCTCTCTTTTTAAGAAGAAGAAAACCTCAAATTGGACCTTAAAGCCCTCAGTTGGCTTCCCACCCTACCTGCACATCCCACTCCCTGGCTACTCTCTGATCATATTTTCCTCTTTTGTCAAACCTTCCACCCCAGCCTGTATCTGTGCTCTGCTGAGCCAAACCTTCTCAAGAGAGGCCGCTCACATGTTAGGAAGAATGACTGTTCCACATGGTGAAGAGTCAAATTTATTTGCCATAAACACCCTGGGCTGCATTGATTTCCATATGGCTTGCCCTGCACACTCATTTAAGCAACCAGAACTGGCATCAAGTCAATACCAGTGAGTTGAGACACCTTGGGACTGGAGAAATGGAAGGTCAGAGGCAACTTTAAGAGCTTAGCAAGTCTGTGGAGGGAGCCAGTACCTCTCATAGGTGAGTTTGGGAGATTTATTTCAGTACATGTGAGAAGTCCTCACGGTCTGTTTACTTTGTGACCTTTCAACTTCTTTCCTGAGAGCCCAGGACATGGGTTGACATCTCACTCCATTTAGCATCTAGCTGTGCAATCTGGGACTGGTAATCCTCCAAGTGTCAATGTTTTTGTCTTCAAATGGGGTGATAATATATGACCTGCTAACTTTATGGGAGTTTTGATGGCCCAGAATGGCCATTTGTAAACCACTATGTGTATGCCTGAATACGAGATGAGAACACTTATTTGTGATTTACAAAGACCAGAGTGAGCTCCCTTTTTAGGAGACCCTCATGTGCTAGTGCTGCATCTAAACAAAGGGCTGGTTGGGCAGGGTAGAGCATAGGCAGGAAAGAGCTGGAGGCAAGCTTTGAGATATTTTGTCCCTTTCTCTTACTGGAACTCAGAGATAGCAATTGACAGCAGCATTTATGAAGCATCTGTTCTGTCCCAGGCACTGCTATCAAGTGCATTATTTACAGTTAGCATCCGTTTGTAAAGTGACGAAGCCGAGGTTCATGACAATGGCACAGCCAGAATTCGACCAGATCTGTCTGATGCCAGAAGCTGCGCTCCCAACCACAAGCTGAGAAAGAGTTGAGAGGCCCTCATGTTTCAAGCCTGAGGCAGCTTGCTCATGGATCCAAGCCTGTGGATTGGTGGGGATGGGAGAGTCACAAGATACACACAAACTTCATGTTGATTTGCAAGAACATGAAGAGATAAAAATGGGCAATAGTATGGCCAACAAATAGGGCAAGGTGTCCACTTGCTGTGACAGTGCTTGTATATGGCCCAGTGAATTGAGAGTCCAGAATGAAGTGGTCTATCAGTGTGATCTGTCTAGGAAGTGGCTTTGTGCATGACCCACTCCTCTTACCTCTGTGATCTCGGGCAAATGAGGCAGCCTGGGGCTGTTGTAAGAATTAAATAACACTGTCAAATGTATATAAATGACAGGGCCTAGTGCACTACTGCTTATGTCTGTGGAGGAGAGCAGGGCAGTGAGCTGCACTCATTGTAAGGGATTCCTGGTCACACCCGCCAGGCGCCCAGGAGAGCTTAAGTCTCTCTCTGCAGACAGAAAGATAGGAATCCCTGAAGTACCCGAGTTGGAGACACCTCTCGCTGTGGGTGTGGGAGCAGTGTAGCAGGGATGGGCTGTGCATAGCGGGGTAAGGAGAGGCAGAGACAGAATGGTCTAGGACAGTGATGGCAAACCTTGTAGAGCTTTCAATGATACAAATGGCCTGCTGTGGCATGCATGCCATAGGTTCAGCACCACTGGTCTAGAGAGCAATGGTTCTGGTTAAGGCTCCCCAAAGCCAGGTTCAGAAGCTCAGTGTCAGGTATATGGAGTTGCTCTAAGCTTCATTTTGATGTAGTGCACACAATGGCCCAAGGGGCACTTGGGGCAAAGGGGAGTGTTGTGGTTAACCTCCAAGAGAGATGAGAGTGGCTCGAACAGGGAAGTGGCAGAGGAATGAAGAAGAGGGATGGATTTGCAAGGCATTCTGGGAGAGGATGAAGGGGCCTTGGTGACTGGTGGATATATGGAGTGAAGGACAGGAATCCAGGAGCCAGGGTAGCCTCTCCTCCAAATTACCAAGTTTTTAGAGCATCTTTCTCTCCAGGTCACATAGGGCTTGACACAGAGAAGATGCCAAATGGGCTTGTTGAATGAATAAATACCAAAACCGAGGACTAACATGCATTCAGCATTTACTTGGTATTACCAGCTTGCTGTTGCTGACATGTCACCTCACATCACTGCAGTAGTGATGTTATGCTTTGTGTCTGCATGTCCCCTCAAATCCTCATGCAGTCATGGGGTGGGTTTCTAGATTTATGATTGATCCATAGCCCAGTGCTGGGATTATAGGTGTGAGTGCTACACTTGCCCTGGGGCAGATAGTTTACATATGTAAGGCAGAAAAAGAGGCTGCTTGCCACCACTCCTCCCTTTTGCTCTTGCTGCATTTGCTGTTTTCTCACCGCCATGAATGGCTGCCCTGTGCCATGTGCCATGTGCCACCCTGCCTTGGAGCCAGTGGAGTGTGGATTAAAACTTCCACAGACTGTGAACTAAGTAAACCTTTCCTTCCTTTATTCTGGGTGTCAGGTATTTTGTCTCAGCAACAAGAGAAAAGTAACCAAGACAGAGGAGTAAGTTCATGGCCATCTAACCTAAGTCTTGGAGGACAGCCTGACTCTGGCTGTCTGACTGGAGCCCAGCTCTCCACCTCAGCTATGGTAAGGAGCCTGGCGAGAGTATGAACAAAGAGTGAGCTACAGAGCAGGCTTTTACCATGTGCCAAAATAGCAATGCCTAGTTTCACCCCGGCACCTCCACTTGCCTCCAGCTCACCTGTGCACACACAACTCACCTGTGCTGGGCTCCACCCCAGCCCTGCCTCCCTCACCTGCACGGCAGAACTCTTCCGCTTCCTGCGGCACCATGTCCTTGACGCGGCTGCCATAGGCAAGGCGGGCATCCTGGTCGTAGGCCTTCAGGGTCTCACTGGAGCTGTAGGACTTCTGGGGTGCTTTGCCCTCCTCACTGTCAGCAGAGGAGCTGGTGTAGCGGCGCTCGGCATCGCGGCGCCGGGTTAGGGAGCGATAAGGCTTTCTCTCCTTCACGTCCATGGCCTCCGGCCCACGCTCTTCCACATCCACCAGCTGGGTCCTTGCTGCACTCAGGGCCAAGTGGTCTGGAGCCAGAAACAAAGAAAGGGGTAAGCTGTGGTCATCCGGCAGCGAAGGCAGTGCCAGGGTCCACCCTGGGGCCTGGATTCATCATAGCAGCGAAGTGCATGAGGAATGAGGCTGCAGAGGCAAAGGCACCACTCCACCAACACCTGGCCAGTCAATAGCAGGGGCACTGCTACCTAGGCCTCTACGATGAATCCTGCCCCTGCTACTTAGCCTTCCACTGATTGCCCCAACTGCTCTCCTGGGCTGGCTATCAAGGGAGCTGCTGACCAAGGCCAGAAGGCACTGCTGTTTAGTAATGTCTGGGCCAGGAACTGTCTCAGTTTGTTCCCACCATATCCCAGTGGGCTTGACCCTGGGCTTGACTGAGGGCCTGACCTAGCACTCCTAAGGCTCCTTAGGAGTTTGTAAAATGAACGGCTATATGCAGGACTTTGTTGCCTGTACTGTCTCAGACATTATTACTGACTTCAGCCTTTATTGGAAATAAGCCAAGGTATAAACAACCAACCCATACTTATCACCACTCAAGTTTTACATGATTATTTGCTTATTTGCTTCTTTTCTGTCTGTCCCCACTGGTAGGTAAGTGCCCTAGAAGCAGATGCCTCGGTGGTTTTGCTTACACCTGAGCCATAGCAGGCTGGGGACTTAGTAGGCACTGAGTCAGTTTCTTTTTTCCATATATATATCTGCATATATATAATTTTTTTTTGAGACAGATTTTCACTAAGTTGCTAAGTTGCCCAGGCTGTGTTCAAACTTGATATCCTCCTGCTTCAGCCTCTCAGAGTGCATAAATATTTGTTTAATCAGCTAGCTCACTATGCTCATCAGACAGGTGAGAAAACTGGGGTTCAAAACCTCCTTTGAGGTCACTTAGTGGCAAGTAACCATTGGAATCCAGTTCTGTTTGGTTTTAAGGCCTGATTTTTCCATTCTAGTCTGTTTCTGAGACCTACAACATCCCTCCTGCCTGTCGTCTCAGACCTACTGGTCTCAGCAGTGCCACCACCAACATCTGGAAGCACAAGACTTATCCCTTGTGGCTGGTGTGGCTATGATGTGGAGGGGTGGGGCGGGGGGCTCCTCATCGGCCTTGCTCTGTCCCTCTTGCCCTAGACTGACACCCATGCGATTTTAGCTGGGATATCACCTGGTTCTCTTCTCTTCTTCCTCCGGGTAGCAAACACAACCTCTACTAGGCCGGCACTTCAGTACAGGAGGAAAACAGTGTATCCTTCAGGAGATAAACAGGGTCTCTTATTGTTTTGGGAGTATACACCTTCTCAGATCTGTCTTTCCATTGTTCCACGTTTCAGAGCCGCATCGGTGTACAAAGCATTCCCTCGCTTTCCTGTCTAATTAGAGGAACAGCACGCAGGAGCCCTGGGATGAACTGAGTGGATGCGGCTCTCAGAGCCTGGACCTCTGGTGGCTGTGGCCTTCTGGTGCTGCCCATTCAGGGTGTGTGGGGGCCGACGTCACATGAATATTTAGGATATGCTGGAAATTTGCATTTAGATGTGAAATGTATGAGTTTTAAATGTTACCTTTTAAAAAATGATAGAGAAATGTTTTATAGGCCAAAGGAAACAGCCCAGTGGGGCAGATTTGGCCTGAGGACTAGTGGTTCTGGCTGCAGTTGTGGATGTCTGAGGCAGCCTTTGGACCTAAAGATATTCTCTTCCCTCTGAGCACCTCACAGGCCCTCTCCAGGGCAGGTTTTAGCTTGGCTCCAGTGCAAAAGCTGCCTTGTTAAAGACCCCTTTAGACCCACTCGAACGGCAACCACAGCACTCTGCAAGGGAAGGGTCTGGGGTCACTGTGGGATGTTGGTGGGACCTATGGTTCCCAAGTGTCTACCATAGACCTCCTCTTACATAGTTCTCCACATTTTTCAAGGAGTGCAAACACTTGTGATTTTACTTGGTCCCATAGTGACCAAGAAGTATATCAGACAACTATTTTATTCCCATAGTATATATGGCAGATGGAACAGCAGTGACCCATGGCCATATAGTCTGCTGCCTAGGACCATGTGGTGAGTTAGTGGCAAAGCTGGCATCACTAGACATGCTACAATTGTTCCTAGAGCCGATTAAGATGGATGAATGGCTTTTTTTGATTCCCAATTCTCAAAAGATCCCTAGAAACTGGGCTAGAGATATGACCTAGGATACACAGACATCAAACCATGACTGGTGCTTTGAGCCAAAGCTTTGAGCTTTTCAGTCTTGATGTTCAGCCTCCAACACTAGCTCGCAAGATGATGATCCTAAGTGTCTGACAGGCGGGACCACAAGGAAGCCAGGTGATAAGGCCTTCCACTGCAGGATCTTTAAGGCTTTCTTGACTACAACTCACAGTTAGAAAACCCTGACATTGTGATCTAATGTGCACACTGGTGTATGTGAGTGTGGGTGTTGCTTATCCATATAAGATGGAAACACAAAATTCACAAAAGTTACTGCACTCTGAACTTCCCTGTTTTACTTTCTTTCATGTTGTTTTAAAGGCTAGTAACTCTCTAAACTGCTATCATGACCCGGTACTGGCTTTTGACCCAAGGCCCTGTTGTGGTTTGGTTTAGATGAGGTTTTATGGCAATTGCTCCTTCTGCGCCCTCTGGCCCTCCCTTCTAGCTCAACAGTGCTGATCATAATAAGCATTCAATAAATGTTAATCATAATAGTCACTAATAACATAGTAATAGTATTAGCAATAGTAGCTCACATACTTTTACTAGTACCTATGTTTATTGTATTTACTTTTAACAGGTATTATATGTGATAATTTTTAATCTCCATGCCAACCCTGTCATATGCATATTATGATTATCTGCAAATTACAGGTGAGAAATTGTGAGGTTAAATATCCTGCCCAGGGTCACACAGCTCTTGCCTGGTACAACCAGAGTTGTGACCAAGGGAGTTCAATTGGGCAGGTGGATATAATCTCAAAATGGCACTGCCACGCCCACGTCATGCCCTTGAGCTGCTTATGCCTTTCTGACCACCCTGCTGAGCAATGAGGATGGATTCCAATTTCCTAGCCAAAATGAAGTCTTTCCATCTGAACCATCTGACCAAGGCACTTGCTCTCCACTGAACATGACTTCTGGGGCCTCTCTTCCTTTGGGTATGAGTTCCAACACTGCACATGCAGCTACTAGATGACATTTTCATGCCTGCCTCTTCCCTGGACTACAGTTTCTCAAGGGTAACCCTGGGATCTACAGAGTTTGCAGAATGTTTATTGAGTGAATAAAGGAAGAAAATTGTTTGGCAGCTACTTCATTCCATGTTGCCAATCTTAAGTAACTCTAACTAGGTATCAGTCCTAACTGGAGAAGGCACATCCTCCAAGAGGTATGTTACTAAAGCTGAGAACAATTGCAGGGTGTTAAATTAGTGAACAACCATTGTTTTTTAATACCAGTGTTTGGCTGTTGACTAAAGACACTGGTTTTAAGGCAAAGAAGCAGTAACTAGACATTCTGGAGACAAAGTCCCCAAACACAGAACTTCCCTGTCTCAGAACACAGGCAGGGAGAACAGGTGTCTCATCTCGTTTCTTTTCTTTGCGGAATTTAGTGTGAATATAACAATTCAGTAAATATTCCACTAGATAGGAGCTCGGTTATGGCTCACACTCATGTAGCATTGAATGAAAACAAAAGAGGGTGGCAGAGGAGTAACAGTGGAGCACAGCTCTCCTTGGAGCAAAGTCTCCAGCATATTGACCTGGGGTCCCCGGCCGGGGGGTGGGAGGCATGTGGAAGGATACCCACCTTGGGCCTCTTGCTCTCCCATCTCTGGGTGTGGAGACAGAAGCACGTGGCACATACCTGGGCTGAAACATGTTTGCTCTTTTCTGCCCACTGCTATGATTTGAGTGTGTCTGCCAAAAATTTGTGTGTTGGACTCCTAATCCTCAAATTTGTATGTTGGCAGTATTTGGAGGTGGGGTCTTTAGGAAGTAATGCAGGTGAGATGAAGTCATGAGGCCGGGCCCCTATGATGGAGGAGGAGGCGTGGCTTTAGAAGAAGAGGTATCTACGCTCGCATGCTTGTCTTGCCATGGGACGCCTTCTGCCATCTATTGATAGAGCCAGTACTCTCCACATGCCAGCACCTTGTTATTGGGCTTTCCAGACTTCAGAACTGAGAAGTACCTTTACAAATTACTCAGACTGTGGTAATCTGTAGCAACAGAAATGGACTAAGACAACCTGGCAACCTCTGGCTTCCCTACTACTCATACAGTCCATAGGTGTGAGATTCCAGGGTGCTACTGACTAACTCTCCTAACTATGCTGCAGAGCAAACCGCTCCCTCACTGTGGCTGCTCCTGACATACACAGTCCATTTGTCTCACAGAGCTGCCTACCATGTCTCAGACCCCTGTCCCTTTCATATCACTGCACCTGCCTCTGCATTCACTGTTTGTTGGGCTCAGGAGGGGGAACTGAAAGGAGATATGGGATAGGAGGGTAGTAGAAAGAAGGTCTGAGTGTGTTTTCCCTGCTCTCTCCTATGCTGTTGACCGCCTCTGTCCCTACCACCTCCCTCCAGACGGTTCTCTTCAAGGTCTCCACCTTGCACTGGGCTCCGCTGGTACCCTTCTCTGTCCTCACCTGCGAAGACACACAGATGTACCTGTTTTCTGCTTCTGCAGACCCCAGGCATCTCACCATCTTGGCTGGCTCCCTGATCTTGCCACACCTCTGTCTCTTCATTAATGTCTGCTGATCTAAACTATCTAGGGGTGACTTTTGTTTCCTGTAAGGTTCCTAACACATGATACAGCTTCACCTCTTACTAGCTGGCTGATTTTCAGCAATCATCATCATCATTGTTCAACTAATAATGCCATCAGCTACTATTTACTCAGGGTATGCCATAGTCCAGCACAGGGTGAAGGGCTTTAGTTAGATGATTGTATTTAGCTATCACAGTTCCCACCTCTGTGAATTGGTCACATTTTGTGGAAGAAT